AGGATCTGATCCATGGGGAGTGAAAGTTGAACGTGTTGAAATGTAAGTTTTTTGGAAATAATTTGTTTTTTCTTTTTGTTTTCTCGACAACTTCGATCATTTTATTTAGCAAAGATGTTCGATTGCCTACCAATATGCAACGTAGTATGGCTGCGGAAGCTGAAGGTTAGAATTTATTTATTGTTTTATTTTTTTTGTTAAATAATTAGATTTTGTTTATTCTTGTAGCTACTCGAGAAGCTCATGCGAAAGTCATTGCGGCTGAAGGAGAAAAAAAAGCATCACGATCATTAAAGGTAAGATTTTCTTATTGTACATAGACAGTTTAGAATTCATCTGATATATTCAGGAAGCTGCTGATATAATTAATGAAAGTCCAATTGCATTACAATTACGTTACTTTCAAACATTAACACATATATCAGCTGAAAAAAATTCAACAATCGTTTTTCCAATACCTAGTAAGTGAATTTTATATTGATAATTTTTCTTTTTATTAGTTTTCTTTTTAGTCGAATTTTTGAAATTAATGAAAAATCGAGGGTCGCATTCAACTACAAGTGGTTTTTAAACTATATTAATATCCACTTTATTCACATTTATGATTATTCTTAACCAATAAATAATCTTCTTCTTTATTGATATCAATAAAATAAAATAATGCCGATTTAAAATTCGATTGCAACACTAAAGTTACATATTATTACGTCATTTATGAAAAAAAGAAAATTAAGCTATGTTAAAAATCTTATCTAAAGCACTTGCACTAATTTGTTATACAGAGTTTCATGGGATCAGCTGATTTTTAAAATATTTTTCGAGACTCATTATGTGATATGGCATGAAAATTTCTTGGTTATAGCATGTTGCAAGATTCGGAATCAAGATGACTGCCTAATTGCCGTATACTCAGTCTTTCATAGTATTACACATCAGTTTTGCTTTATTGAAATTGAAAGTTTCTTGTTCGTTGTGTTCTGTTTCTTTTTCTTCTAAAATTAGTTTTATTATCGGATAAAGATAGAGTATGTGTGATGTTGCTGTCACATGAATACGAATCGAAACTTTCGCGTGTCATCGGTTATGTGAGAGGTAAAGTATATTTCAAAATCTGTTAACGAAACGATGGTGAAGAATAGATAAAAATCTTTAGATAACTAGGCGTTGCTGATGAGAGGAATGAAGAGATCAATGACATCGTTCGAAGCATTATCAAATGAGAAATGACAACACGTATATAATATTATTTCTTTGTTTTCAATGTGAATTCATATTGATCAATATTTATTAGCAAATTAAGGTTTTTATAGAAAATTTTGAGTATTACAATCATTTGTTGTATATCTGAAAATAACATCAAGAATTAGAGTATAATTTTGGAAAAAATAGTGACAGGAAATGGTAAAGTAGGCATAATGTATATGTAATCCATATCTCGAATAAGTTTCGAACTCAAATAATTAATTTATATGCTAATTATACAACCACATGCAGCGAAAGTTTTTATTGTTATCAACCAAAGTGAATTCATTATACAGTGCATATCGTTAATTAATATTAATAAACCAGTGACTAATGTTTATTTCCTTTATTTTATTTATTTTTAAATCGACTTTATTAGAGTATTCCTTTGCTCTTTTAGGAGAATTTTTATTTATTTTTTTAATATTTTCTACATTATATTGTTATCTAGTTACATATGTGTTCTGATGAACGACGAAATCAAAGTCTCCCTGAGAAAGATCGATAAAGAGACTTTATAGGATGTAGTATTTGGCATTATAATCCGAAGGAACATAAAAGATCAATATACATAATCTATTCTATGTTTGACGATTTAATAATGACAATATAAAAGCAATGATCGATGACATCGATCAATTTTGTTTTTAATTTTTATGAAATTTAATATTGAGCATTGCCATTCATATTATGATATACTCAAATTTTCAAATAATCTTGAAATAATATTTGATGAACAAAGACAAAAGATTAGTAAAAACTTTAAACAATGATTCAATAGTCTTTTTTTTAGATAAAATGTACATTCGATGAATGAAATAGCTGAAAAATAAGGATACATATATTGAGAGAATTGTGGTTTGATTATTATTAGGGTGTGGGTGTGAATGTAGATCCTCATCATACCCACACCCGCACCCACACCCTCTCGCTGTGACGACTCATCCTTTTAGGATTGAAAACATCGAAAGCACGATTGTGCTAACTCCTACTCACCCGAAGATAGTCGATCTGTTTTTCCTTCACTCCTATATGAAAGTTTATTCCCATATATATATATTCATAAATATCGTTCGTCAAGCGGTGGGGTGAGGTATGACGGTGTCAGGGTAAGCGAGTGAGGATAAGGGTATTGGTGAAAAGGAAGCTTACAGGCACAGCAACACTTCAAGCACAACTCGCTCCAGTGAAAATGATATACGCAATTGTCTGATAAGGTGGCATGATGCTGAATGATTTTCCGTCGCCAACCGAATCTGTTGACCCTTCAATTGAATGAGAATGAGTGCCATCATATTTGAGGGTTATTCCGGTTTGTCCCAACGGAATACTGTGCCTATGATAGTGGCCGGCGGCGAAGCTGGCGCCGTGGTTGCCGTCGGCTTTGGACTGGTATGTCACTGTTGCGAGACTGTATTCCGTCCAGCCCCCATGATTATGGCTTGGATCATTGACCGTATGTTTATGTGAGCCTGCATAGGTAGTTTCTAATGTACCAGCAGTATGGTTATGAGTCAGAGATGCTCGTCGGGGCACCCAGATGGTCGGGGCCCATGGAGAACCCATGGGGTGACGCCCCAAATGGGGATGGGGCGATATGTTACCCCATCATCTTCCCCACAATGGTGGGTTTTCGCAAATTCATTTCCCTGCCCATGGGGTGGACCATGGGGTGAAAAATCTTTTAACCCCATGGTCTAAATGAACTTTTATCATTTATGAAATCGTTTGAAAAAAATGGATGACGAGGTTGTAAAAATTGTCTTATCGTCGTACAAATAATACAGAATGTTACACGTTCTTCCTATATATTTTCTCTTTTTTTCTTCATTTTTGTTTTCCGTTGTTTTTCTTTCGTATTCAAGTAATAATATGAAAACGACGTTCCACTCTTTCGTTTTCTTTCTATAATTTTATAGTTACCTTCACTATTTCTTTCATTTTTCCAGCCGCCATTACTTCTTCTCTTTACTTTCTGTGTTCATCTTTCCATCAGTGACATACTTAGAGTATACCAAAAGTAGTGGTGCAAGTTCTGTAATTCGCTATAACACGTTTTAAGAAACTTTCTCTCTATATAGTTTGATAGAGAAAAGAATGCTCCATATTTCTATAGTATATGATTATACTTCAACTAATATTATAATAATAAAATTTCGATAAGATCTATTTTGTTCACATGTATTACAACAACATGAATGCTAGCAAGTATTTTCTTTTAAATAACTTTTGATAAAAAGAAGATAGAGAACTGCAGTTTTCACTATTAAAACCAGGAGATGAAGATGCATCGAATTGTATATTATATATTTTTTTAATATTGATTTCTGAAGTATTTTTATTCAATTTTCTAACCGCCAGTAAAATGGTTTTTTATGGATAAAATGGAAAAGCAGAAAAGTTATCTTTTATTATAGAAATTGCTAGAAAATCGTATCAGAAGCGCCACTAGAATATAAATTATTGATGTCAAACGTCTGCAGTCTGTAGATTTTCGATTAGTGATTTGAATTTACACTTGATAATTGAAATTTCACTATAAACAACTTACTAAATAGATTTGTTCTTAAAAAAGTCAATTTAAAAAGTCACAGAAAACAGATCAAGAAATTCTGTCATGTATAATTTGAATGAATTATCTTTTCTGTTCGCCCTATGGGTGGGGCGAAGGGCGCCCATGGTCGGGGGTGAGCTGAAGTTCAAAAACCCAGACTCCCCATAGATGGGGAAAGTGGTTTTATAAAAATTGGCTTGTGGGGAACCCTGCGCATGGAAAGCCCATGGGCCCCATGGGGTGCTGAAAAATATCACATGAGCATCTCTGTTATGAGTAGGCATTTGATCAATTGTGAGTGTTTGTTCTTTATTTCCTCCTTTTTCCCAACGGTGTTTCTGACTGGTGATTGGATCGAGACCGAGTGGGAAACGGTCGCGAAAATCAGGCACATTGAACGTTATTTTTCCATCTCCAGCTCCAAATGATTCACCGATAACAGAAAAGAGTTGTGGATATTGAATACGTGAAATTTCAGTCCCATTACAGAAAAGCCAAGGAAAAGGAGGATGATCGGCAGCTGCATATAACCGAATTTCACCTATCATACATGTAGATGATTGGATGACCCGTGTTTGTGTTAATCCACCGAATATCGGAGGCAAGTTTAATGTGCTGAGTGTTCGTATCATTGCATTATTCGTTTTCTCAGCTGTCAGTTCTATTGCCATTAGAGCAACTTGCAAATTGTCAGTAATATCTGTCAGTTTATAAACTTGAAATGATTTTGGTATAATCTTTTCTCCTTTCCATTCAGTTTCTA